GTGAGATAGTCAGCATGGGTAAGTATTATTTTCAACATGTGTTTCCATTTATTTAAAGTTTATTTCTAAATTGACGTTAACACAATATATATTATGAAACAGGATATGAACTATGCCAACCAAATTTGATAAGAGATTAGAGAATTTGAAGGTTAGAGATGAGCATTTTTTGAAGTGGGCGTCGAAAATCAAGCGGGAAAAGTGGTCACAAGCATACGATGGTGGTCGACGATACGGACACATGACAACAAACCTTGTTGAGGCCATTAATTTAGTACTAAAAGGCACACACCATCTTCCAATAGTGAGTATGGTGAAAGAGATGTACTTTAGGTTCACTAAAGTTTGGTATGTAAAGGGAAAGAAATTGAGTGTATGAAAAATCGAGGTAAAATTTGGGCCCCGACACTGGTGGAAGCAATGGAAGCAAATGAGCGATTGGCAACCTCAATTTTTTTTCATGACTTCGATCGAATTGTACATACTTTTGTTTTCATCGCATGCATACGTCGCAATGAAATAGCAGAGCGAGAAACATTTAGATTTAATTTACGAAAAAGATGGTGTGATTGTGGCCACTTTCAAGCATGGAGATATTCTTGTGCTCATGCAGTCGCCGCATATATGCATACTGGAATAAATTCATACACCTATGTTGATGAATTCTTTCACATGCAGAGGATATTAAATGTCTACAGCCACGGGTTCAGACAGATCCCAAATGAATCATATTGGCTGAAAAAACATAATGATGAATGGTTGCCAAATCCAATGCTTCGTAGAAGTCCAACAGGTCGACCTAATTCCACTCATATTCATACCATTATGGATATCCATATTAGAGAGAAAGTTCAACCAAAGAGATGTGGATTATGTAGAGGTGAAGGTCATTCAAAAAAAATTCCAAACCTACCACAGTACAGGCTCATCAATAATATTATTTCTATTTTAACGAATAATTGAATTTCTGGCCTATTTGGTGATGTTATATTTGAATGAATGTGATTAATATTAATATTTGAATGAATGTGATTAATATCAATATTTGAATGAATGTGATGGATATTTGTTGATGTTATATTTGAATAAATGTGATTAATATTAATATTTCTATGTGAATAATATCAATATTTTATTTAATATTAATAAAAATACAACAAACCGAGGCGCACATAGGTTTCGTTGTGGTCGTTGCGGTTGTTCAGGAGTTTTTTCATCATAACCAATCTGCTCATTCATCAAGGGCATATGATCTGGAGTTGTAAATACATGCCCACTACCACTCTGCTCTCCCACTTGAGGAAAAATACTCGCATTTGACATCATAGATGTCATATGATCAAAATAATATGTTGTTTCAAACATGGGAGAGAACATGGGTGATTGATGAGGAATAAGCTGAGGAGTGTAGGCCGTAACACCAGAATCACCAAACACTTGATGAAATGATCATGTACCGCTAAAAGATTCTGAAAGGATATTATCTATTGCCGCTTGTTCTGCTTTACGGTGAGATGAACTCACACTCCCACTCCGTCTTGATTTTTCGGCTTTACCAAATTTTTTCTTATGTTGTATAAATTGTCGTCTTTCTATGTTCGTTGTTAAGAACGACTTTCCATGTTCCCAATAATAATCTAGGCAATCCGAATTCTAGAAGTCAAAGTCATCTGCTTGAATGGGAGAGAGAGTTGACAAGTATGAAGCCCTGTTGTTCCAAAGATTTATATAGTTGGGATGCCTCACAGCCCAATCCTCACCGTGCCTACCCCGCCCATCTAATCTGTGGAGACCATCATGATTCTCTGGAATCCGCGGAATAGGTTGGTGGAAGTCGAACTGCCTCAAAACTTTATCAGAAAATTGGAACTCAACAAAATTGAAATGGATAAATGGTGTAACAACACATCAATATTGACAACCCTCCTAGACATGTTGCGGCACACATGATATAATTTCTCCATTATCGTACGACTTCCATATAAACTATAAAATAAAATTATATAATTATTAATTAATTAAATAATACTAAAATTTAATTAAATAAATAAAAAATATAATAAACTAAATAAATTAATTATATACATCAACTTTGTATTTAATGTCCATCTCAAATCTAAACTATTTCACATTATTGTGTAACAACCCGTTCTTTCTATTTTATGCCTCATTTGTATACCAATCAAAATGAAATTCGCTAATTATTTTTCCTATAAAAATTTGTTAATTAATTTAAGATAAATTTTTTAAATCAAAATATTATCTTTCGGTAAGAGGAAAGTCAACTGCAATTCGGCTAATCGATGTTAACCATGGAAGTCTGTGTCAGGCCTACGATTGTAATAATATCAAACACTCATTGATTTCCATCATACACATATTATTTACAAGTAATGAAGCCTTGCACATCTCGCGATACAAGAACACCAATATTGCTGATCCACAACTATACTGACGGGTATTCAAAAAGTTATCCAAAAATGAAAGATATTGTATATGAACAAGATTACCGGATTTATCCGGCATGAAGACTCCCCCAATCAACTGTAATATATTTTCTCGAGTTGCATATATAATGTCTTGCACAGTACTATAACGACCGAGCTTAAACTCATTCACCAACCATGATAACCTCAAATGTGACCCTATTATAACTATTTTTCTGGCACCTTCCCAAGGTACACCCCACACATTTCAAACATGTTCTGATAATTTTTTCCCACAACTGCCATCCCATTTGTAGGGACCCTGAGTTGTAAAGCCACATTCTCCAAAGTGGTCGTACATTCACCACACGAAAGATAAAATGTATGAGTTTCTGGTCTCTACCATTCAATTAATGCACTGATCAGACCGAGGATCAACTTATATTCTCTTGCAAATGTTACATCGTAAAAGCCCATCATTTGTAAATTCTCGACAGTAGGATCATGTATCTTATCACAAATGTTCACTCGACTACGAAGGACTCGTTGTTCGTCATTCTACAATTTATTAATCCATGGAATGAGAATTAATTCATCGTTCTCAAATAAAATATATTATTCAATAGTAATACAAGTGCTCACAAATGACTAGAAATATGTTGATCATCTAGTCTCAAAAGAAAATTTTGTACTGTAAAGCTTCAATAAATCTATAAAAATATTAAATATTTCACTTTATAATATTAATCGTAATTAATGAAAATTTAAAAAATTGTTAAATCAAAATAAATAGTATAATTAATTTATATTTGCAATAAAAACAAAAACAAATAAAACAATAAAATTTAAACTAAACTTACCAAACTACTCAAATATGATTTAATCTATAAAATAAAAATAATTAGTCTAATAATTTATATTACTCAATAAAAAATAAAAATATAATTTAAACTAAACTAAACTTACCAAACTACTCAAATACAACTTAATATGTAAAATCAAAATAAATAATCTAATAATTATAATTTAAATAAAAACAAAAATTATACTAAAAATTGCACTAAAATTTAAATTAAGCTTAGCAAACCACTCGAATATAGCTTAATCTGTAAAATCAAAATAAATAGTCTAATTAATTTATATTTACAATAGAAACAAAAAACAAAACAATAAAAATTAAAATAAACTTACCAAACCACTCAAATATGATTTAATCTATAAAATAAAAATAATTAGTCTAATAATTTATATTACTCAATAAAAAATAAAAAATAATTTAAACTAAACTTACCAAACTACTCAAATAAAACTTAATATGTAAAATAAAAATATATAGTCTAATAATTACAATTTAAATTAAAAACAAAAATTATACTAAAAATTACACGAAAATTTAAATTAAACTTACCAAACCACTTTAATAAATTTAATATGTAAAATCAAAATAAATAGTCTAATAATTATAATTTAAATTAAAAACAAAAATTATATTAAAAATTACACGAAAATTTAAATTAAACTTACCAAATCACTCGAATACAGTTTAATTTGTACAATCAAAATAAATATTTTAATTAATTTATATTTCAAATAAAATTTAAAAAATGAAACAATAGAATTTATACTAAATTTATCAAATAGCTTACTAGACCATTCAAATACGAACTCTTTCTTCCTTCGTTCGAACTTTTTTCTCCACTTTTAATTTTTTTTATTCTCTCCTGCAAACTCTCCTTTCTCTCGGCCTCACTCTCCTCCCCTCTTCTTACATCCCAAAATTCATCTCTCCCATTTTATAACATATCCCGGTGCTCCATTATTGGTGTAATAATGACACCATTATTGATTACTCACATTCCCCATGCCATGCAAAAGCTTTGTTGTAGAGTCAGCGCTACAGTCGAAGTAAAGCTGAAGACGTCGCGTATTTCCGAAGGCTTCTGTAAGGACTGAAGACGTCGTGCACTCCACGCGTCTCACCCCGGCCTGAAGACATCATGCACTCCTAGAGTCTTTAAGTTTGGTCTGAAAACGTCAAATAGTCATGAAGTCTTTGTGTTGTTAGTGTAAATTTCACCTCAGATGGGGAAATAGTTCCGGATGTTACTTATATTGGGAATTGTTTTCCCACTAACATTATTTCAGCCATTTCCCCAGGGATACGCTCTACATATTTGGCTGATAAAAAACAAAAAGGGATTTATATCTCTGTTTGAATCTAAGTCTGAAAGCTTATCGATTTATGGACAGTATAATTGTTAAAAACTAATATTTGGTGATTGTTATGTCTACAATTTGCTATTGGCCCACATGTTTGATGTGTTCCGCAAATTACTCCAAATAAATTCAAAGCTTAAGAACGCCAAAACTACTAAGACCATCAACTAGTAATAGTTCAAATACATGAGCTAAGATGCATGTGGACTCAAATTAGTTTTTTCTTTTCACATTCTAAATCTAATCTTAATTCAATCTAAAGGGGAGGGGAGGGAATATAGTAATATATTGAAATTATTACTCCTATAAAGAACAAACCAATGTTGAGCTTATTCAGAACCTCCACTCAAGCTAGAACGGTGTTAACTTGGATTGGTTCTGCTGTTGATAGAACATGTTCAAGTTTATAGAATGCGTCTCTATATTTGTTGCGAATTTAATTTCAGTTGTGGGAGATAACGCTGCAAAGAACATATTCATCTTAGCAGGACAGAGTAACATGGCTGGCAGGGGCGGCGTCAGCCATGGAAAATGGGACGGAAACGTCCCACCAGAGTGTCAACCGAGCCCTTCCGTTCTTCGATTCACCGCTAATCTTACTTGGGAAGAAGCACGAGAACCCCTCCATGCAGACATCGATGTAGAACACGTTTGCGGGGTCGGACCGGGGATGGTATTCGCCAGTGAGATCATTCGAACAAATGGCTCGGGGATTGGGGTGGTGGGTCTGGTCCCATGTGCCGTTGGTGGGACTTCAATAAGCAGATGGGGAAAGGGAAGCCCTTTGTATGATGAGTTGGTGAAGCGTGGCATGGAGTCATTGAAGGAAGGTGGAGCCATTCAGGCTATATTGTGGTATCAAGGAGAGAGTGATACGGTCACTAAAGAGGATGCCGATGCATATCAAGGGAATTTGGTACAACTGATACAGGACTTGCGTTTTGATCTTAACCTCCCATCTTTACCTTTTATGGTGGTCTGTATGATCTCCAATTGTTTTACTTTTTATGTTTAGTTTTAATTTTGAAGTGAATTATAAGTTAATTTCAGGTGGCACTTGCGTCCGGAGAAGGTAAATATGTAGAGACGGTGAGAAATGGTCAAATGGGGATAAAGATGGAAAATGTGAAGTGTGTGGACGCCAAGGGATTGCCTCTCAACGTAGACCATCTTCATCTTACCACCATAGCTGAGGTCAAGCTTGGTCTCAAGTTGGCTCACGCTTTTCTCCAGCAATAATAATTGAAGAAGAAACATGTCAAATATCCTTCATTAATGAAGGAAGAAGAATAAAAAGTGGTTTTGACTTTAAATGGAAAATTTCTTCCACTCTTTTTTCTATTTGTTCTGATTTGAAAATCAAAACGAAACAAAAATTATATTAAATAACTGACCCAAAATTCATCGCTTTATATTTGATAAGGGATGAAAAAGCTTATAAAATCTAATAAAAAGCATAACTGGCAACCACCCAGCACCGGGGTATTAAAACCCAACACAAATGGGGCAGTTAATCAAGGAATCACGGAGCTGCTGGAGGAGTTATTCGAGATAACAAAGGCACATATTATATGTTTAAAAGACTATTAATCATTTAATCATGAACGTTTAAATACATATACTGAGGACATGCTTGAATCTATGACTTCATGAATAATAATCATGTCTTTAATCATTAAAGTCATTTGATTCGTGCACTTTCTACTACAATTTTAGTTAATACTAATTAGTATTTAAATCATAACATCTTTAATATGCATCTTACCTCTTAAAACAACTAAATTGATTAACCAATTTAAATTATTTTTTATATTATTTTTTATATTTACTTTTTTGCCCTCCCAGTATTCAAGGTTTCCTCCTAATTAATTCGGAGCGACTCGGGTCTAGGGATGGGCATGGGTCAGGTTTCGGCCAACCCGACCTGACCCCAAAATTTTACATCCTTCACCCGACCTGAAAAATATATACTCTCCACCCGAACCTAACCCGACCCAACTTTTTGAGATAAAATTTGAACCCAACCCGAAATAATAAAATAATATTTTTTTATTCAATAAAAACAGTAATTTAATTGGAAAATATATATATAAAGGGGTATTATTGTAATTATTCCTAAATATATAAAGTAAATTTTTTTTTGGGTTGGGTTGTGTCGGATATTTATCACCTTAAACCGAAATTCAACCCGACCCGAACATCACCTTTAAAAAACCCGACCCGAACCCGATTTTTTATATATAAAAAATCTCGACCCAATCGAGTTAGGTCGGATCGGAATCTATCTGGTTTGGGTCCTATGCCCATCCCTACTCGGGTTGTACACCTAACATTGGTGTCGGAATCGCTCTCTAACATCAGTGTTGTTAAACTCAACTTTGATAGGTCGGTGTTGTTAAACTCAACTTTAATAGGTCAGTGTTGTTAAACTCAACTTTGATAGGTTCAATAACCAATCCAGGATGAAGGCTGTTAGTGGTTGGGGATTGTCTCAGGAAAGGAAGGTTAATATATGGCTAATATACGGCGTTACCGGATACATTAAAAGATATTTAACAAATTCGGTTTAGCGCTATCGGAAATGTTGAGTAATAATAATGTAGTAGGTCTAATTCATGAAGAAATATTAAAAAATTTGGCAACCGGCAAACTTAACTTGTCGGTTTGTTTCGATCCAAATTAAAAATGTATCGATCCATATCAATATAACAGGTAAAAATATGACAAAACCGGTCACGAAAAGACAATACCGGTAAAGCCCTACCGGATATATTTAAAGTGTCTATAAAGTGTCGATACTTTATAAAAATGTATCGATCCACAACGATATAACAGGTAAAAATATGATAAAACCGGTATCAAAATGATAAAACCAGTAAAGCGCTATCGGATATATTGAAAGTGTCGATACTTTAATAAGTACGTGTAATAAATTATCGATAATTTCAAAGAAATAGGTAATTATCCTATCGAAAGTATCGACACCTAACATAAAAGTATCGACAACTGATATAAAAGTATCGACACCTGACATAAAAGTATCAACACTTTGGTAGTTGTATCGATTAAATATAAATAACATATCCGATGAAAATATAAAGGACATAGCTAAATATCCTCTGAAAATAGATAGAACGGACGAGTTTTTGAAATCGAAGCGTAATTGTTGCTGTATTTCATAAGGCGTTTCTAAAGTGAAGTTTGTTTGTTGTTGATGTAGTCGAATCGAAAAGTATGTTGTCGAAACCCTAGTTTTTTATTATTACAATAATCGCAAATAGGGTTTTTATGTGTTGTTTGGGGGTTTTGAGTAAAGAAGCATTTGTAACCGATTACAGGTAGAAAGTGATATTCAAGGTAAAATATAAATGTCGATACTTTTATTAAATATTATAAGTAGAAAATGATATTATAGGTTGTATAAATGTGCCGACACATTTTGTAGTGGCCATTCAAATTCTTTTGAAGAAAACCGTTTTACCACAAGAGTAGTTATCTATATTTGTATATTGAATAAAGTTTTTGTAACAAGTATTTGATTTGATTTGTGTAAACTGATATATGAAGGAAAAATGGAGTCAATGGGTGGCAAAATTGTTGGTGGCGCAGATGACTTTGAAATTGAGGCCGAGACTCGAAAACAACCAAAGGGTGGATATATATACTTCTAGTAAGTATCAATGTCTTTTTGTTATTATTGTTGAAATGGTAATTTGATTAAAGTATTTAAGAACTTTAAATTGATGACAAATTTTAAATGTTGACAGTATGGTCGAATGCAAAAGGATGAAGGAAGATGTCACAAAGAGCGGTTTGGTATGTAAAATGAAATTGACATTGAGTATTATTTAGTGTTAATGTATTGATTAAGAAACGTTTATGCTTAATATTAGGTAACAAAAGATGTGAGGTCCAAATGGAATTCGATGAGTGATGCTGAAAAGGAACCTTACATCACACAGTCAAGGAATGATAGTAAAGAATACAAAGAACGGAGGAAAGCACATGAAAATAAGGTATTCATTAAACTTGTAAATACGTTGATACAAAATATACAAGAACTATAACATTATATATTGTTAAAAAATATAGGAAGTGTCGATAAGATACAGTATTAAAAGGGTGAATTCATTAGTTAAACACCTTAAGGAGAAGGGTCAGTTGAATGTGCTGGGAGAAATAGGGGAAAATGAAGGCAAAAGTGTTGTAGAAGTCTGTAAGAGTAAGAAATGGAAATCACTTGCCTCCAAATATGGTTTGAAGCAGAAGGTGACATATACTGAACTTAAAGAGGAAATAAAAAGTGGATCTTATGGGGGGATGAGCTGAAGGTCAGAGTTCTATTGTATCTTATCGGTATCTTTCTTTGTCTAACGGGTGATACGTCAACGAACAAGGACTATATGAAACTCATTTGCGATGAAGGCTTGAAGGGGGAATTCAATTGGGTTGAATATGTCCATTCGAGATTGATTGAATCAATAATCACCTTTAAAAAGGGCAGTCAGAGATACCTCAAAGGGTGCATAGCAATCTTAGAGGTAAATGACTTGAAGAACTTTTTTGTGTTTTTATATAAAATGATAGTATAGTTATTATATAAAATTATAAATTTTATTATAAATGCAGGTTGCACTGTTCGATTTTTGGTCGGGCTGTGAGGCAGTGTCGACTTATGAAAGAACCGGAGTGGCACGCATCCGTGCATGGGGGAAGGAGGAGAGGTTAGAGTGATGGCGAAGTTGAAGTTGGATAGACCGAGGAAGCACGAAAGGGTAATAAATGTAATTAAATAATATTAAGAATATAATCAATGTCTTAATATTGTAATTTAATTTTGAAGGTTATTGGCAATGAGGTAGAGGAAGCAGCGGAGGCAGAGGAGAAGAAAGAAGAGATGGTTGTATTGGGGGATGACGGTGAGGGGGATGATGATGAGGAAAAATAGAGTAACTTCGACATTTTGATGTCTGAATTGACTGATATCAAAAAAATCCAATTTGATATCATATAAAGACAATCAAGAGTCGAAGAGAAACTTGAGAGAGTCGAAGATACACTTGAGAGGCATAAGGGGGAAGTGGAAGGAAAAATAGATGGAGTGGTGAAAGAAGTAGAGGTGTTGAGGGGTGAAGTGGTGAAAGAAATTGAGGTGTTATGGGGTGATCTTAAGATGGTGACGGGTGAAAAATTTGATGGAGTGGTGAAGGAGGTTGTGGAATTGAGGAGTGAACTTACGGGGGTGAAGGGGGTGGTTGACCAATACTTCGATGAAGGAGATCAATTGAAGGGTGAAATAAAATATATGAAGAGCTATGTAGAGGAAAAATAAGATGAACTGAAAAAATATGAAGAAGGAAAGAGGGAGGAGGAAGAAGAAAAGATGGAAGAAATGAGGAGGAAGGAAGTCGATGTCATTTATACACCGGAGAGTGTTATAGCAGCAGATTTGGATTCGGAATGTCCTACACCCCATAAGAAGAAGCAGAAGGTAAGTTGAATAATAGAAAACTTAATTTGATCTTTATCATGTTGTTGTGAGAAAAATTTGTATGCAAAATTGTAGGTTGAAAAAGCGGATATTCCAAGCGAAATTGATGACATCGAAGCTACAATTTGTGATTATTTATGGAATAGTGAGTTAGAATCGGGTTAAGTGAAATATATTGCTTTGTGGGTGATATTTAAATATTTCATGATAACATATTAATCCTAATGATTCATACAGATATTATGTAATCTCAATGGGAAATCAATTCACTAGTGTATATGACGTTGCAACGTTGAAGCCTATGGAATGGGTTGGCGGTGTGGTAAGTAGAAAGTAGAAAATATTAAAACTTATTGAATATGTTCTGATTGTGTAATTAATTTTGTTAGGTTGTTGATTTGCTCGCCTGGACAGTATGCTACGATTCTCAAAAGTCACTCTGGAGGATTGGCTACCTTCCATACCTCTTAGCGGTGAGTTAAATTAATAAATGTTGAAAAATAGTGTTATATACGGTAAATTAATAATGTTTGTTGCATAATTGTAGCAACAGGCGTTGGATGCCAACAACAAAGAAAGTGTTGAGAGTATTGCTACCTTTTGGGGTCCCATATTGGATAACTATGTGAAATTCACCGACTGTGAGAAGGTAAGACACCATACCAATTGCAAATGATATTTTCGGATATAGAATGTTGAATTTTGTCAAATTGGGTGTGAAATTTGTTGCAGATCATGATCACAATAAACTACCAT